AATTATACGGCAATACTTCGATTTACATTAATGTCGGTCCACACAAAAATCTCCCGGCCACGTGCTAAAAAGCATTAGACTCGAATACAAATTACCAAGTGATGCCCGGTTTGCGTAAAAATGCAGAAAACGCCGGAAACCGAAATACAGAAAAGAGACGATCTCCTGTCAGGAGGTAATAAACATTAACACTTCAACGGGAAAGGAAGAAATAACACTTAAACTTGAAATACATACCCAAGATTGATCAATCAATCAATATTACAACATCCGGCTGCATGTTTACGGTATTATTTGCAAACAATGAATCACATGTTTTTGACAAACATGTGGGGTATCTACTGACAGTGTTTGAAATAACTTAGGAAACTGTTTGTCAACGATCACGTGTGGGTGGTGATTACCTGTTTCGGTAAGACATTCTGGAACTGGAACAGTTTGGAAAGCGCGCTTTTGATTTATAGCCCACACCAACTCGTACTTCTGGATTAACAATTTTGCCCGCGAAGAAATAAAAGGTACGGATGCAACCATACAAATGTATACCCAAGAAACCTTCCATTAAGCGTATCGATTTTTTTTAATTAATTAAGCGAAACTTTGTAAACTACGAAAAAAATCACGACCGACGTCCATCGACAGCGTACAAAAAAATCAAATTATTAACAATTCGTTCCGGTCAGCGTTATTTAAAAAGTTGAACAACCGACCAGGTACAAAATTTGTCTAGGTACCTAATGTGTACCTATACAACTGTAATTAATCGCACGCGTATAATTAGGTCCAAATTATTCCTCCATCAAGTTACAAGTGTGTAAACAAAAACTAAAAACAAAACTAACCTCACCATCAAAGTTTTTAAAAACTTCACTTAAAACTTGAAAAGTTCATCGTGAAAAGAACACCGGGCGTCTTAATTCCAAAAAAACACTCATTGTTTAATGCATGTCGATTCAAATGTATTTTCTTTTAAATCATAAACGCGACGAATACAAATAAACTCCACCGTAAACAGCAGCGACACTGACTGATGCATCGCCGGTATTTTCATTTATGAGCGCGCGTTCAAGTCCAGTTTCTTTGGTCCATCGTAAAGGAAATACCTTGCGGTAGAGACGGAAAGCTCTCGAACCTTATTTAACCGACAAAGATGCCAAGAAGCTGTAGGAGTTGCCTAAACGCAAGGGTGTCCGGTGCCGCACTTTTGTGAACTTATTTATATTTTATACATGCGGGGTTAATTTTTAATCAATTTGATTATTATGTAGGAATACTTATTGTAAATGTAAAAGGAGATTCTTACCTCATGTTTATTGGCATTTTACGATTTCGAATGAATAGCAGTATGCAGTATTTAACGTTTTTACTTTTTTTAAATCGATGGATTCGGCATTATAGAGATATCCAGTCGTACTTTTTATTGTAAAAATTAATAAACGGCAAAAAGGTTTAAACTAACGAATGTATTGCTCGAAATGACCTTTGCTAATTTCCATACAATAAATAAAATCTTGCTTCAAACCAAATAACGGGCGATCAAAAATGAGTTGCTGTCGAGTGGCCTTTGGATAAGTTCAAGTTAAGTAAGATTTCCTATGTAAACAAAAATTCAAAACGTGACTCGACAGCAAGTCATTTTTGATCGCATGGTAATTTCAATATCACAGACATTTTACGTTAATCGGTGGTAATATTCTTATGTATTATTGTATTCTGCGATTCATACCCAGATTCCATGTCTCAAAACTTCAGCAGGTGTTTTTCGTCATTGGTCATTCGGCAATCACTCTTTCGTCTTTGTTGTATTTAGTATTTTTGACTGCTCTACCGTGACCAACTCCATACCCAAACACGTAAACATAATTATAACAACAAACTTTAGCAATATAATACGCAATGCCAAAAGTTGAGTCTAATCGATTCAACATGCACAGTGCCCTTTTGGTATATCGATCAGTTATGAACTGCACGACATTCCAACAGGGAATACCCAGTACCATATTATTTGCAATGCCAAACTGAGGCGTCTACAGTCTACTCAACTCAAAAACACACACCATTTGGCTTCTCCCCCTTGCCTTGCCCTTGAATCGAATTTGATGAAATTGAAACTGAGCATAGTCAGTACTATATCAAATGTAATGTCAGTGTCACCGCTTTGGCACTTTTGATTATGTCTCATATCAGGGTGGCTTGTGCATGTTCTAGTATTAGCATATTCAAATGATGTAGATCATATTTCACAGAACGAAAGAATAAGTCAATTCGCTTTCACTCCTGATCGGCTGTACCTTGATGGCGCCTTAATATCGCTCTAGAAAATTCGCTACACTGCCTCCGGTCCTAAAACGGTTGCGTCTCACGGTTGTTTTGGGGAAAATTACGGCTTAATTTTAAATTTAAAGTGATTGTAATTATTGTTTTATTTTTGTAACGTGCGTTTACAAATCCAGTAGTGGACAATTATACTGTTTTTTAGCGCATTTCAAAATAATAAAAAAATGCGCTATTGTGGCCACTTTGTCCATCCGTCCGTCCGTCCGCGCCTCGTATTGAGACGCTACTAGTTTTTTATCTTAAGAGCTGTTGTTCTACTTTTTTCGCTATTTGGTTCGTTATGGTGTCGAGTCTTGCACCAAGGAAGGAATTTTTTCTGTGCCGCTTACAAAAAAGTTATTGTAAAAAAAACAAAAACCCATTTTTTACATGTTCCATAATTTTACACTTTTGCCGTTTATTAACGATCCTAGAGATCGTTTATAATTTTGCATTGCTGTCTGTTGTCTGCCTGTTGGTCTGTCCGTCTGTTCCTTTGTCTGTCTGTCCCTCTATCTGTCCGTGTGAACGATAACTTTGTTTAAAAATGTCCGATCGCTTTTACATCTCCGTTAGTTATGAACTGGATTGCATGAAATTCAATATGGGCATAGGTAATATATATAAATATATGTAATACGCAATCGCAAGTCGGATCGATTCAAAATTCACAGTGCCCTTTTCGCATCTCGACCATTCATAAACCGAATTGCAAACTTTTTTAATTATAAAAGTATTTAAATGAAATTTGATACATAGCCACTTGGAATAAAAGCAAATTTAACGCCAAATTCAAAATTTGGTTTTGCGCATGCGCAGTGCCAACTTTCTTATTTATGGAAGGATTTAAATGAAATTCGATACATAACCACTTGGAACAATGGAAAATCTAACGTTAGCATCAAAATTTAGGTTTGCGCATGAGCAGTTCCAACTTTCTTATTTAGAAAAGCATTGAAATGAAACTCTTCTTATAAACTGAAATTGAAGTAGCACCGTTGAGTGATCATATTTATTGACTCAATGGTAGCACGTCAAAAATGGATTGCACATGTGCAAAGGTATCTTTCATATTTGTGGCCGGATTTTTACAATTTTAACAAAAGTTGCATCTTACAAATAGGAAATGAATGCAAGTTGAAATGCGCTTTATGTAAATCGTTTACGATTACTTTTTAACTTGTTGAATGTAAAACTACCTAACTTTTACATGCGACAACCAACTGGTCTGCTTTTTAAAAATGGGGGGGGGGGGGGGGGATGAACACATGTTCTACCCTTCATGGTATTCTAATGAAAGGTCTCACCGAAATGAATTGGTTTGTACAAACTATAACTTTTCAGTGCGACTCCTTTCCGAGATCAGTAGGTGGCCAGGGGGAGGAGAGAAGGGGTAGACATTAATTTGATCTTTCATGGTAGTCAAGTTATGGCCGTTTGCACCTGCAAACTTAAACGGCGCTTAACCTAAGTGTAGCTTAAAATCCATGGCAACGATTATTGAGGTAATGGTTGTCATGGATTTTAAGCTACGCTTAAGCTAAACTTCCCTTAAATTTGTTTGTGCACACGGTCATTAAAGGTTTTCCAACAAAAGGAACTGTTTTTCTACCCTACTTTCCTTCATCAAAAAAGCGGATTGAAAGGGGGGGGGGGGCCTTTGCGCTGGTCAGATATGCTGACTTGACGTATAATGAAACAGAAGAGACGATGTCAGTTTAGGTACCGATTTTTTACGTTACTGCCTATAGTGACGCGTTTTTCCCACTCTTATAACCTCCTTTTTATCCATCGCGTGGCTTTTAATGCAACCTTCTCTCCTATTTTTTACTCGTTGCTTCAAACACTCCATCGCAAGAGAGAGTGCAGACAGAGAATTTCAGATCTCAGAATATAAACATTTTTTTTAATTACGAGCTTCGAATGATTGTATTGTGGGCAGAGATTTAGCAATATTAAGACACTAAAATGAGGCATTAGGAGCATGGCACACATTTTTATATTTTGTATACTACACCGTCGTTTTCTACGTGTGACTGGCTCCTTTCGGGTTGCGGGGCCTCCCGAGATTGCGGGCCTCGGGGCATTGCCCCGAACTGCCCGATAGTAGTTACGCCACTGATCTGTCTGAGACAGAGCGCAATATATGTGATCACGTGATCATGTTTATTTGAACATAATAGTATATTGAAAGACAAGTGTTACAATGCGACCTATTGATCCCAGTCAACATTGTAACGTAACCGATTCATAAATATAATAGTTAACTAGGTGGTTCGTTATGTATCTAGTAACTTAAATGTTACATGCAAGTAACACAAAACGCCTAGCACTGTTATGTAACGGTGTAACGTAACGAATACGTCACGCTATGTAACATACATGTATATATATGTTACATGAACGTAATAAGTAACACAACGGAATGTCACAATAAATAACCCAGTTATGTATCGTATATACAAACATACATTACATTAGAGTAATATGTAATGCAACTGAAGGTTTAAGCAAATATGTAACATATATGTAGCATTACGTTGCATGGGGGTTGTATGTAACGCAACTGAAGGTTACAGTAAATATGGTAGTTACGCAACAAATATGTATATGTTAGTATACATGAGAGCCTTATGTAACGCAAACGAAGGCTACAGTAATGTAAAAATAACTAACTGCAGCAGTGAAAAAATAAAGATATATTCTTATAAAATAAAACAAAATAACAATTCCTAAAAATGTAGAATATTATCACAATAGATACATTTCAAATATTCATTAATAATATATAATAAAATTATTGATTTTGGAGAGGTTTTTCTCTTGACTGTCTCAGCGTGCTTAAGCGTAACCACTCACCCACCGTCAATTCAATGGCACTTTCGCTAGTGTCGGGGAAAGTTTGCCGAACGGCATCTGGATAAAAGAAAGTTCTATAAGGCAAACTGCGTTCCCACCAAAACAGTTTTCATTATGTAAAAATAGTGCATCAATTCCAAATGCTTGAACGGAAAATGATTCGTTTTCCCAAGAAGGGAACAGCTAATCCCCAAACAAAAAAAGGTGGAATATAAATTTATACTTACACAAACACTGAACCAAAACAACACCGACTTATTTCCATATAGCGTCAAAAAGAACTTTATCTTTCGCTTGAAGTTGACTGTTGAGGTCGAGGTTGAGGTTATGTGTCCCGCAGCCGTTAACCTTTACTTTTCACTAGAGGTATATGCGTACTTCTTTTCAGATATACTTCACCTAACGAAATAGGTAATATGAATTAACTGTATTAGAAAATAACGGTTTAACATAAAAAAGAAACAAGTTTTTACCTCTTCCCACAAAAAACCGTAGATAAACACCACAAAAATTCCGTTCATCAACCGCATTCGCGTGTCACATAGGAGATAGTAATGGCGTCTCACGACAGTACGAGAATGCGCAAAAGGTGGTGTACCTAAGTATTTATGGATAAGAAAAGAAATTTTGTATTAATAACCTTGATGTACCTTCATATTCCATTATAGCTCATCATTAGAATGTCCACTTTGAGACTTTGACTTCCCTAAGACCCTAACAGTGCTTCAAGCGGTTTGGGCCAATTTCAACCACTATGTTACATATCATTTCGGTTACAATTGTAACATAACTTTGATACCTTCTAGAACCCTGTCAGTTATATAAGTGATTATTACGTGTTTGGTATAGAACATTCCAACTTCTATGTTACATCTCATTTCGGTTACAATTGTAACATAACTTTGTTACCTTCTAGAGCCCTTTCAGTTATGTAAGTGATTATATTACGTGTTTGGTATAGAACATTCCAACTTCTATGTTACATATCATTTCGATTACAATTGTAACATAACTTTGTTACCTTCTAGAGCCCTTTCAGTTATGTAAGTGATTTTTACGTGTTTGGTATAGAACATTCCAACTTCTATGTTACATATCATTTCGATTACAATTGTAACATAACTTTGTTACCTTCTAGAGCCCTTTCAGTTATGTAAGTGATTATTACGTGTTTGGTATAGAACATTCCAACTTCTATGTTACATATCATTTCGATTACAATTGTAACATAACTTTGTTACCTTCTAGAGCCCTTTCAGTTATGTAAGTGATTATTACGTGTTTGGTATAGAACATTCCAACCTCTATGTTACATATCATTTCAGTTACAATTGTTACATATCTTTGTTACCTTTTAGAGCCCTTTCAGTTACATATCATTTCAGTTACAACTGTAACATATCAATGTTACTTATTAGAGCTCTTTCAGTTATGTAACTGAGAGTTACGTGTTGACTGGGAT